TATATATATATATATATATATATACACACACACACACACACACACACACACACACACATATATACTAAACAACTACCTTGTCTAGTTCTTTCTCATTCAAAACCTTTCAACCAACTGAAAAGGAAAAATTAGTGGGATATACCTCGGGAATTTGGAATCCAGCACAACAAAATTGTTCAATCATTAACAAAGAAAATCTTTCAATTGTCAAATGTGTTACAAAATTTGAAAGTGACATTTTAGAACAAGAATTTCTGATAAGAGTAGATTGTAAAGCTGCTAAAGATATATTAAAAAAAGTTGTTAAAAAATCCCATCTAAACAAATTATTGCCAGATGACAAGCCATTATTTCCTAATTTTATTTTACTACAGAATATATAAAGGGAGAGTCTAACTCCCTGCCTAACTTCTTAACCTATGAGTTCTTACAGAGTCGCTCGAAGGAAAATAAAGGCTAATACATCCAACAGCAGAAATCAGAATAGATCTTCTCCTTATAATCAAGAGGCCAGTGAAAAAGCTAAAAGCTCAAATACTATGTCCAGAACACCTTATATTGAAAAGGCGTTCATACCTATAATGATCATTGAAAATAAGCACGTTCAAAAAGAGCCTAATCAGGTAGCTGATCTTTATCTTATAGATAATATGCATCCTGAAACAGGATAGAAAACCCGAGAATATTATGAAAGAATATTGGCTATTCGAAATTTCAAATCTTAAAGATCATCACATATGAAGAATGAGGCTTTGATCCCCTGAAACATAAATATCTTGTAAGAACCCTAAAAATCTGGGCTTACAATTATTATGACTACATACAAGCTTGGGATGTAGTCTTCCTATTTCAAAATTCTCAAAGGACCCATAATTGGTTTTTACAATTCCGATTAAGCACTAAAATAAGTGCATTTCCACAATGGTATAAAAGATGGATGTTGTACTAGGGACCTACTCCAAACATCTATCCAAAAAATCCTAAAGAATCATATGAATGAGATTATCTCCCTTATTTAGAGAGGAGAGTTATGATAAAATGATGGGATTCATTCGAAGATACTTATCTTCACCCACAAAATATAAAATTTGAAAAGCTTATACAAGCTAATCTTGAGACTCCAAATCCTAATAGGATGAATATTTCAAGCTCTTAAAAGAGCATAATCTGAATTTAATAAATAAAAAACTTAAAATACAAGTATTATCAGCTCTAAATGAAGAAGAGCTAGATGATATGTCCTTGACCTCCTCAAAAGATAAGGAGGAAGACCATGCTGAAGAACATGAAGATGACTCCTATGGAGTCCTTACTCCTATCAGACGATATGGCAAGAACAAAGGGTCGGCCCGACTCCAACCTGATTCAGGACAGGAGGTCCATCAATTGATGAAAGTACTTACGCCATCAATTCAATTATTGCCTGACAAAGAAAACTTTAAGCCACAAGCAGGGAATCTCCACTATAACAACTTTTCTTGTAGCCATTTACCCCTTGTCGGCCACCTGTCTATTACCGACATATTTAAGCACTGTAGCAGCTTTTCATATAGCCACTTACTGGTCACCTGTCTATTGCCGACACCTTGTTGTTTCATCTTTCATGAAAAACCACGTGAAGACCCAGCTGGAAGCATCTTTCCGGACCTCAAATAAAAAAATTGAATTGTGTCATCCCTCTATATAAAGGGAAGAGCGCCTCATTCGAAGGCATCGGGTCTTGGAGAGTCTTCAGTCTTCGGTTTTAGTTTTCAGTTTCAGCTTTGAGTCCCTGTAATATCTCAGAGTATGTATAATTTCTGTGTAATTTTTTTTGGAGCGAAGTACCGGAATACGTTCTGGAACAGTTGCGTTTGTTTGCTAGCTATTGCCACTGATTAATGTAAATAATGTGCCAAACTGTTAATATTACTGCGTGAAGTTTTCAGTTTTATTCTTGATCATCTATTCTTTTGCTATAATTATTGTATTTTGTTCCTCCTATTGTGTTCATCTTTTGTTTGTTTCTATGCATTATTAAATCCTGTGTTTGAATGTTCATCTTGTGTTGCATTATTAAATCCTGTGTCTGAATTTTACGGCGAGAGTATGTTGCTCCCCCCAATATGGTGGATTTTTTCGAAGTCTTTGAAAAAGGGGTTTATAGTCAGCCGTCAGATTCTTGTAATAATCAGCAATACAATTAAGAGATCCTAAAAATATTTGTAATTGAGTTTTATCTTTGATTTCATCAGGAAATTTGTATGACTCTATTAATAGGAGTTATAGTACCTTAGGAAATATTATGTCCAAGAAATCAGATATTAGTTTGAAAGAGTTTAATCTTTTTGGCTGAGACTACCAAACCAGCTTGCATAATAATTGTATGGAAAATATTCAAATGTTTCCAATATTGCTCTATAGATTCAGATAATATCAGTACGTCATCGATATAAACAATTGTAAGAATCGTGTATGGATTAAATATTTCATCCATAATATTTTGAAATTCGGAAAGAGCATTTTTTAGACCAAAAGGCATTACGTTCCATTAATAATGTCCAAACGGTACCGTGAATGCAGTTTTATACCCATCTTTTTCGACGATTTGGAATTGACAGTATCCATATTTCATATCAAATTTGAAGAAAACCGTAGCTTTGAATAGTCTGTTCAGAATCCTATTTATTAGGATTGGATACCGAATCTATCTCAATGCTTTATTTAATGGTTTATAATAGATTACTAACCTTGGAACTCATCTTTTTAGTTCTGCTGCTTTTTCTACATAAAAGGTTGGGTGGCTCCAAGGAGAGTATGACTTTCTTATAAGATTTTTTTTCCAATAAATCTTGTATTTCTTTTTTACAGATTTTCAGTAGTCTGCTATTCATATCAATTGGTCTAGATTTTGTTGCAATAAGTCTTTCGTCAAATTTTGATTCATGTGGCAATTCTACCATATGTTGTTTTCTATTCTAAAAGGCATTAGGAATATCAACACAAATTTATTTTTCAAGCATATCTTGAAATATTTTAATTTCATTTTTAATATTAAGATATTTTAATATTTTCTTTATGGTTTTATAATTTATCTCTTCTTTGAGGGAAAATAAAAACTTTTATTTATGTTTTAGTTGATTTTGAACCGGATTTATTTCTCTTAGTTTTGGTTTGTTAATAAATTTGAATTTCACTTTATGACCATCAATTTCAGATTTTATCCCGGTATGATCGAGTAGCTTTATTGGATATAAGAGGTTCAAAAAAGCTGTCCCCAGTAAGACAACTTAGGATAATCCTTTTACCTTTATAAATGGTAATATAAAACATGCTCTATTGTTACAGACTGCTGCATCTGAAAGTTTATAATTGATCATCATTCTCTTGCCATCAGCAGTATTGAAAATTTGTGTAGTCTTGTTAAAATATTTAGATGGTACAAGACCTTTATTAATACAAATCAAATCAATGCCTGAGTCGATTAAGGCGATAGTCTGGAAGTTGAATTCTTTATTAACCACAATTATGACATAAGTATGCCATTTTTTAGATATAACCTTATCAACTAGATTGACATATGTCAAGGTTTTCAGCTTTTATAAAAAATATGATTGTTTTCAGGGATGCTAAGGTTTTCAAATTCATCCACAAGTGGGATAACAGGTTCATTTCCTCCAGTTTGTGGGGTTTCTAATTGTTCAATTCTTAATCTAAGCTGTTTTATTTCTTGTTTAATATTATTTACTTCATATTTTAATTCTTTCATAGTGGTATCTTCAGAAGTTCTTCTTGAATTTTTTGGTTTTATAATACTAATAATATTTTTAAAAATAGTCTTTTGTTCAGAGAATTCTTCATTAGGTTTTAACTTAGAAATATAAGTAAGTAAAGCTTCTCTTCTATCAACAGGATTCTCAATTTTGTCTATAATATCTAGGATGAGATTTTCTTCTTGGGTTAAAGTATTAATTTCTAATCCATTCATAAGACATTGATTTATAATAATCGCATTGGCAATCAAAATTATTGCCTAATTCTTTCTCTGTAGAGGAGTCAGAATCTTCAAAAATATTAATAGATTATTTAGAGTCTGAATCGTCATCAGAAGTTAATAGAACCTGACAGAGTGGCCTTTTATAGTCCTCATCAATATTTAAGGTATTTTATCTTTCTTTTGGTTCTACATTTATTTGCAAGATGTCGAAATTTACCATATTTTCTAATGATGTCGGTTTTCTTTTAGAAGATTTTTCTTTATTATCTTCCTTAGTACCAACCCTTTTCTTATCTAGAAATTTTTTCTAAATGTTTTAGATTTTTCCTGTATGCTTTAACAGATCATTTCTTATCAATTTGATATTTGTGGGGTTTTGTCTCTATAGATTCAAAACCAAATTGTTCACAAAAATTACATAACTCTTTTCTTCTTGTTAGGTTTTATTTTTCTAATTGTTTTCTTAGTTTTAGGTTTGTGCATATTTCTATGCCTGTGGCACAAACTTTAGCAGACAATTCTCCTAGAGTATAAAAATCATAATTCAACTCATCAATGTTTATAGCTTTTAGCTTATTCTTGACCTTTTCCACAAATAATCTAGGAAGTCTAGCAATGAATTGTCCTTTCCAATAACTAGCTCTACAGTTTTCAATTATAAGAAGTTTGGACGTAAAGGTATCCTCATACCATTTGTAATGGGGAAGGGTAGGACATCTGAGATTTTGTAAGTGATACGACTGTCTTTGAGTCAGTATACTAGTATTCTCTATAAAATGAAAGGCAATCGTATATGTTAAAGTATTCACACATTCATCTTCAGTAATATGTACCGTCTATATTTGGTCAGCCTATATTGCTCTGGTTCTCGTATATTACTTTTTAGCAGTTAGAATATAATTCTTTTGTCTCAGTGAGATAATTATCCCACCGGCCTCTAAGTTGTCCTGTATATCCTAGTATAATTGCCTTGGCCACATTCGAGTCCTGGTTTCCATTATTGATGCTAGCGGTGGCAGGGTAAGAGTCTGGTACTCACTGAGAGTATCTAAGTTTCATTCTACAATTGGTTTACATTCATACATGGCAGATCCCATAAGGATGTCTTCTTCATGTTGGACGTCAACAGGAGAGAGTCTAGGATAATACATTTTTGTAGGAGCTACTGGTCTGGTTTTAATCTCGTATCCTACTGTATTGATTTCAGCAGGCTCAGTGTTAATTAATTATTTAAATATTTTCTCCAGAATGTCTATATCTTGTTCAGAACAATCAATACTATCTTCAATCATATTGTTTGAGATTCCTAGAATTTTATTAAAGGATTTTCCTTTTTCATTTATTTTTAGATTCCCTAATTTAGATATAACTTCATCAAGGAATTTTGAGCTTACAGGCTGTAATCTAAACCTGTTTTTAGGTAATTCAATTGAGGGTTTAAAAACTAAGGGAGCAGTAGTTTTTATGGAAGATGGTATCTCTTTTGAAGATAAAATTTTATCTTCCAGAGTATCTTTTTTAGATACTAAATCCTCTATTCTGTTTGCTTGCTCTCCTATGGATTTGAGATAGATATTAGTATAATTATTTTGTTCTATAATTGTTTTAAATCCTTCCATATTAGGATTATCAGTTCTTTTATATGGGACAGCAGTGGCTCCCTTAACATCTAATATAATATCTCCTAGAGGATGACTAGATTTTATTTCTCCTTTAGAGGTTTTATAATAATTATATTGAGAGTCTAATGTGTTGATGTCAGGAGTTTTTCTAACATATGTATTTTTTTTATATTCAAATAGAAATGTTAGTTTATATTGTTTAACAAAAATTTCTCCAAACCATCTAAAAAATAACATATTTCCTTTAGCTTTATTCATAGCCTCTATATATTTTTCTTTGATATATTGTCTCGATCTTTCAAACCCTTTATTAAGAAACCATTGTCTGACATCTTTATTATGATCAACATTGAAATCAACTTCAATTTTTTCATAATTAATTTGAAATGTGTTAATCTCTATGACATTTATTTGAGGATCATAGTCCACATCAGAAAAGGTTGGTCCTCGTGAAGTAGGTCTAGAATTTTCAGTCTTTGGAGTTTCAACATTATAAATGGGTTGTTGTATTTCACCCACTCTTCTTAATTCTTGTAACATTGCACACATATGTTGATGCTCATATTCCGTATTTGGAATAGAGGAGGTAGAACTTCTAGCAGGAATTCTAGAGCTTTGTGATGCTATGTGAATTCTAGCACTCCTATGAGGATTGAATTGACTTTGGACTTCCCCATTAGGGAATTTAACTATAGAGTTGACATTAGAATTTTACACAGGTCTAGAAGGAGTTTCATTTTGTAAATTCCATTGTATTAGTAAATTGACTTGGTTCCAAGTTATCATCTTAGGAACAA